GAACAGGGAGCCCAACGCCCTGCTGAGCCACCCAGGTGCCCCAGATGCAGTCCTTTTAATAGCCACTTCTAAAGCAACTGCTCTTTGCTTTCCGCACTACTAGGGGAGGGGTTCACACAGCGGCATTGTTCTACATTCCCACCATAACTTAAAGGGAAACTTTTACAATGTCTGGAGCTCTTGATGTCTTGCAAATGAAGGAGGAAGGTGTCTTCAAATTCCTTGCAGCAGGAATCCATTTAGGTGGCACCAACCTTGACTTCCAAATGGAACAGTCCATCTACAAAAGAAAAAGTAATGGCATCTACATCATAAATCTGAAGAGAACCTGGGAGAAGCTTCTGCGGACAGCTTCTGCCATTGTTGCCATGGAAAACCCCCACTTAAAAAAAAAAGTCCTATCATCCAGGAATACTGGCCAGCGAGCTGTGCTGAAGTTTGCTGGGGCTACTGGAGCCACTCCTATGGCTGGCTGTTTCACTCCCAGAACCTTCAAGAACCAGATCCAGGCAGCCTTCTGGGAGCCAAGACTTTTGGTGGTTCCTGATCCCAGGGCTGATCACCAGCCTCTCACAGAGGCGTCTTACGTTAACCTGCCTACCATTGCTCGTGTAGCATAGACTCTCCTCTGCACTATGTGGACATCACCATCCCTTGCAACAAGGGAGCTCACTCAGCGGGTCTGATGCGGTGGATGCTAGCCCGGGAAGTTCTGTGCATCTGCGGCACCAATTCCCATGAACACCCATGGGAGGTTACGCTGATCTTTACAGAGATCCTGAAGAGTTTGCAAGGGAAGAGCAGGCTGCTGCTGAAAAGGCTGTGACCTGGGAGGAATGTCAGGGTGAATGCGATGTGGTTTTGGAATATAGGTGAGGTGAGGTGGGGTCCGGAGCCGATGACCAAGAAAGAATTCTTGAGATGTCTTTGGTGCAAAACGGTGGTTTTATTAAAGAACGGGGTCTGAACCTGTGGGCAGAAAGAGCTGCTGCCCTGGAGGTTTGAGGAGTGGTGATTATATACTTGGGAGTTGGGGGACGTCAGGTAAAGGGAGGTTTCAAAAGAACTTTCATATGCTAAAGAGGACTGACCTACAAGATACTGGAGGCCTTGCCATTGTCTAATTAAGGTTGTTTTCCCCTCTAGCAAAGTATTAACATTAAGATAGTTGGGAGATTCCTGGAAGAATGTCACTCATGTCCCACCCAGGAGTGGGGGTGGGGGAGGGAGGTTGCAGATCTTTATGCTTTGTCTTCAGCTTGACTTCTGCTCCCTTATCAAATGGACTGCTCCAGCTCCTGAGTTCAGTGCTACTCAATCTGAAGTCAAAGACTGGTCTGAAGGCATGCAGGTGCCCTTGGTGCCTATTCAGCAGTTTCCTACTGAAGACTGGAGCGCTCAGCCTGCCACTGAACGCTGGTCTGCAGGTCCTACTGCTCAGGCCACTGAATGGGTAGGAACAACCACTGAGTGGTCTTAAGCTGCTCTTCCACAAAGGCAAACAAAGTGGAATAAGGTTGATGGAAATTAAACAGTTTCTCAAGAAAAAAAATCTTTTGGTCTTTGTAATTCTATTCTCAAACTTTGAATAATAGTCTGGTGTTAGCTGTATTTGGAGAATGAAGGGAGGGGCCCACATCCAACTTCGGATTTGCTTCCAGAGTGGTGATAGGCACAGGTGGGTAGCTGGTGGTTCTGGAGCTCTAGGTGGTGACTTGCACCAGAATTCCAGAACACTTTATTGAGCAAAGGACGAGGCTGTCATGGGGAGTGCCTGTGTTAAAGTTCAAGCAAGCCTGGAAGTCTGGCATTAACTGAATTATAAAAAGGGTCAAGTGGCAGTCAGGGATGGATTTGTGGGGCATGAAAGGAAGGATTCTAGGACTGTTTGGAGGAGGGGCTGGATATTCTGTCACTAAAGAGGGTGGGACTTTTTCCTCTTACTGATAATTAACCAGAAGTGTGACGTCTAGATAACAGAGGGAGAGTTAATCAGCACTCCTTGCCAGCCGGGGGAGGTGGGGGGGAAGACCAGTAGGTACTAGTAGGACTCAGGTACCACTCTCCCTTAAGTAAAGCCCTCTTTGAGTTCTGCCCTTCCCTATCCCTCCCCAAGGGGTGGTTTTCCTTTCTCTGGCTCCCACTGCATTTTGCACATAATTATCTTGTAATTTGTAATCATGTCTCTCCCAGTAGACTCACATCAAGGGCCAGGGACTGGCGCTGGTTCTCAGATCCTGGTTCCAATCCAGCTACACCACTAGTTAGCTTTGTGACTTTAGGCAAATTACTTAATCGCTCTATGTTTGATTTCCTTATTTATTTAAAATGGGCACAAGACTCCTCCCCATCGCCTGGGGGTGCTGGGAGAAATGCAGGTGACAATGTGTGTAAAGTACTGGACAGAAGGTATATGCAAACTAAAGGGCAGTTAGTAGGGTAAACATTTGTTAACTGATGTGAACTACCTTTATTTTGTGCCCTCAACAAACATTTACTGAGCAACTACTGTATTTCAGGCCTCCGGAGCGCTCCCTCCCTCCGGGGTGGAGAAGCCTCACGTGTGGCCTGAGGGCCTTGTCCCGCGGGCCGTCTCGCGACTGGCTCCGCCGCAGGGAAAACCCCGCCCACATCCCTTCCGATCTCGTCAGCGATTGGACTGGAACCGTCCCGTACTCATTCCGGTTGCTAGGTTCGGGAGGAGAAGGTGGGGGCGAAGCTGCGCGTGCGCAGATTGAGGACGAAGATGCTTTCCGGTCGGGCGGGAGGAGGTGACGTCAGGAGTGGTGGTGCGGTTGGGCGGGGGGGGCCTCCTATAACCCTCAGGACGTTTTATCTGTGGGCCCTCCGATAGCGTCACAAGTCGGCGACTGAGCCTTGGCGGTGGTGGCCGAGGCGGCGAAGGCGGCAGCGGCGGCGACAGCTCTGGGGTTTGCGTCTCGGGGTGTGTCGGCCGCCGCTGCTGCTTGGGCCTGGTATGTACAAATGGCTGGTTAGGATTCTCGGCACCATTTTCCGTTTCTGTGACCGGCCGGTGCCCCCTACCCGGGCCCTCCTGAAGAGGCGGCGCTCGAACAGGTGAGAGGAGGGGGGGCCGAGCGCCAGCCTGGCTGTACCTCCTCCCCCACCCGGGGCTCGGCGGGGAGACCGCTGATCCAGCCAGGCAGGCCCTGCTCGGCCGAAACAGCTGGCCGGGCCAAGGCGGTGGAGGTGCGAGTCGCGGGTGTCCTGGTGACGTAATCGCTCCCTCCACGCTGTGCGGATGCGCTCCTGATGATGGAACGAGCTAGTTGTCTTTGGAGTGGCCCGCGATGGTTAGGATCTTTCATGTTCTTGTCAGAGCCCAAGCTGATTGCTGTCAGATGGGGCTGTATCGTATCTTGCTACTCTTAGGTTGAAAACTAAAAATTGAAGGAATACTGTCTGTGTTGTGGTTCACTGTTAACGAAGCACACTCCCAAGTGTCATCTGTAGGCAGTAAGTGCAGCTAAGGGAAGTGAGATTCATAGCTTGCCCAAAGCCGTTTTGACTGCAAGAATTGTTCTCTTAGCACCAAGAAACAGCAGCTGTTTTGTTCTGAAACAGCTGTCAAACTGTGTGTGTGTGTGTGTTTTGCGGGGGAGGAGGGGTGGTACTGTGCTTTAGAGTTAGCGTATGAGGGGGAAAAATTAGGGGTCTGATTCCTTTAAAAAGATCACTAGTTTGTACTCTAAAATTCAGGTAAAATTTTGGGAAACCTAAAAGTTGGTTTGTCTCATTTCATACCACCTTGCTTGAGAATTAATCTAGAGAATAAAATACCATACCAATTCTATATACCCCATCATCAACTTTTAGTGATCAAGTGTTAATTTCATTTTTTTAAAATTAAGCCTCAAGATTGTTGAAGAGTGGTTTCTTGGAGCTTGAGAGAACAAGATGATTTAATACATGAGTCTGAGAATGCAGGCCATTGATGATGTTGGCTGTTGGCTAAATTCCATCATGTGTTCTAGAGAGCCCAAGGTTTCAACCTATTCTTTTCTACCTTTTTGTGAAGTTGATGTGAGGATCATTTGAGAACATGTTGTAAAGTGCCTAAAATGATGCTTAATATATATAAGAATAGTATTTGTTTATTCTACCCCAAGGGCCTTGTGCTGAGGCTGGTGCATGGTAGACACTTGGTGCATACTTATTGAAGGAGAGAATGTTAATTCCCCCTCCCCATCCTTTCTTTTCGCTGTGAATCCCTGCTTTCAAATAGATGGAACAATGATTTGGAGATGAAAACCCTGTTCTTCACCACATATCCTTAATCTAAACCAGTTCTTCACAATGTAAGCCATTTTTCAGTCAAAATGAAGCCAGGAGATCTTACTGGGACTTTAAAGTTATGAACTGAATGGTATTCTCCTGGGATTTATTCTGTTCATTATTTTTGGTAAAACTGATCAATCATAATTATCATTAAAAAGATGACTAACAGTAAATCATAAGCCTTTAACGTTCTTGAGGTATAGGTCCAAAAACTTTCCCAAATTCCCCAGTTTTTTATTACCACTGTAATTTAGTTTCCATGATAGAAGTGCAGTTAAATAGAACAACTTTTCTGGCTAAGAATTATATTTTAAGGCTTCTTATATTGTCTACTTCTAGTGAAGTAGAAGATGGCTTTCCTTGCAGGGGCGGGGGAGATGTCATCTTTCAAAACGAAATTATTTGTTTTAAAATCATTTCTGGAGAGGGGTGCCTGGGTGGCTCAGTCGTTAAGCATCTGCCTTTGGCTCAGGTCATGATCCCAGGGTCCTGGGATCGAATCCTGCATCAGGCTCCTGGCTCAGCGGGAAGCCTGCTTCTCCCTCTCCCACTCCCCCTGCTTGTGTTCCCTCTCT